AACCAGTGCCATTACCATTATCCGATTCTGAGGTGTCTGTCTGTTCGTTGAGTACTGCGCCAACTGAGTTGACACTTCAGCGAAGTATTCTGTTTGTGGGAAAGGCTGAAGAAGAAGGAGAGGGTGAGTGTGTAGAATGTATACCGTCTGAAGGTGTCAGCGAGAGTGAAATCGATACGGAAAGTGAGTGTATTCGCAATCTTCAAGCTGATCCCTGCGCCATAGAAATTATCACCGTGAATAAAGAGTGTTGATTTTGTCTTTAATTTTCTTTTATTTCTTCTGATGCAAAAATATGTATACTTGCTACGTAATGCATGTTTGTATATATGTACATACATACTTAATTTTGGAAAAAATGAAAATATTCATAAAACTTATTAAAAAAAAAAACATTGGAAGGACAATCGATAAAACTAAATCGAAAGATGACAGAACCTTTTTATTTTTTTAAATTTTCTCAAGCCTATCTAAAGTTTCTGTTATAGGTACGGTGGCCATATTTATGTTAGTGGAATATGGGACAGAAAACGTTTTAATTGCAATTTTTTACAAAATGTATAATGAGTTAAATCTACATAAACTACCCGGAAAACGTGTCCTTATTTTATATACTGATTCTTCTTAAAGTGGCGAATAAGTACTTCAGCACTATTAATGGATGTCTAATTTCTATTCATAGTCACGAGTAGGTAATTAGTTTTGAACAACAATTTTTGTCTCTAGTCAAATATTGTTTACCAACTAGATGATTCTAGGTGCGTCTTTTTGGAAGAAATACTTAATGATTGTCTCGCGTAAATGCTTTATAAAATTTATAAAAACGGGTCGAATTCTGCTAAGAAAATATAGCCAAACTCAGGATAAAACTGTTAAAATCTAGTTTACCATAATTTTTACCGACCAGTAATTATTCAGCAGTATATATCAGGTGCTAGCTTCTCTTTGAAAATTTTAAGAGATTTTTGCTTTTTACTTGACCATGGCCCTTTTTTGAAGAGCGCTCATGTACTTGTTGGAACATAGTTGTGCACTGGATCACAGATTTTTATTTGTTTTTGTTCACCAAATGCCACTATCCAATTCCTATGTAGAATTGCTCAGTGATTCCGAAAATCAAGTAAATTTTTTTCTATGGATAACTTTTCAAGATATTTGCAATTTACCGCCATTCAGCTTAAAAAATAGTATATAGATTTATATCATGAAAGCTAATGAAATTCTCCATACACCGTATACACATCACTTTTCGATAGGCCTGATTGTTTCTGAGAAATTAATTAATCATTCTAGATTTTTTTTTGGTGAAAAATGAAAAAAATTCAAACTTTACAAGGGAAAAATAAAAAACTTATATATTTTTTTTTAATTTTTTATCTTATGTGAAAATTCAAGCTGGAATGAGTGGTCAAATGAAAATGTACAAAGATTTCTTGTATGATATATGAGCAGAGAAGAGTGTTGCTCAGATGTACATGGCGTATGAGTAACATTCCTTCCTGCTCATTTTTCATACAAAACAACCAAGAATGATAGAATACAAGATTGCGCCAATCGAGCTGAGAGCAAC